AGATCGGGTAGCGGAGATGGTTGTTCTTATTTTTTGATAAATTAATATGTTAAAAGTTTTAATTTAAAAAATGAAAAAGGAAAAATTTTTGATTTTATTTTTAAATTAACAAAATTTATTATTTTTAAATTTAATAATTTTTTGCTCTTGTTAATATTAGTAATATTATATATGAATAGTATGGTATTATATTCTCGAATAAACCTTGTTTTATCATTGATAAATAGAATGGAATAAAATGAGCTTTTTCCCGAACATTCCTATATCCTTTTCAAGAAAATAAAAAAATTAAAGTATTCATTGGTCAGAGAAGTTATGGAATTATTGTCCATCCTGTAAATTTGCTATTTGATGATATTTTTATTAGGAAGTGTAAAATTTAATGAAAATAAAAATTTTACACATATTTATAATGTAATTTCATTTTTAAAATGTAATAATGTAATTAATGTAATTTAAGCCCAGGCTTGATTAATTCTTGATTGACAGATGACAATTTCATTTATTTCAAATGACAGAGTAAAGTTATGAATGATTGAGTGTGTAATTTCATTTTTCATCAATTTCTTTCTTTACCACAAAAAAATTCCTGATATAATCGATATCTGAATGAAATTTCCATTATTTCCAAAGTTTGCTATTTTTTTTTCATCAGAAACTATCTTATCATTCTTATCTCTTTAAAGGATATTAAAATCTTATCATTCTTAATTAATTATTTGATTATCTTATCATTCTTAATTAATTATTTGATTAATTGTTAATTTATTATCTGCTTTAATAACTAGCCTGTAATGATTTTAATTTGAAATTTTCAAAACATTTTTCAATAAATGATTTTGAAATTGCTTGTAAAAAGGAAAAAGCATAAACAGATAATCATCATGTTAATTTTCATTTCTTGTTGTTTTGATGATATCCATCAGATATACTGATTTCGAATTTTTCATCTCTTTCTCTCTCTCTCTCTCTCTCTCTCTTTCCTCCCTCCCCTCCTCTCTCTCTCTCTCTCCTCTCTTTACATTCTTTTATCGTTTTAATGGAAAATCAGAATGAGTAGAAAAGAGATCCATTTTCAGACGATTTTATATTTGATTCTCTTTTATGGTCACAAACTAAAATTAACTCAATTTTCAATACTTTTCATAAATAGTAATAAGTTATAACTTAGTTAACAAAATATTTGTATAAGGAAGGATAAGAAGAGAAAAGAAGGAGAGACAGAAAGATAGAGAAAGAGAGAGAGAGAGAGAAATTGTCAATTATAAGCGGAAATTGTTACATTCTCTTGGATTACATAAATTTTCCATCGAGTTATTTGCTTTTCA